CCCAAACCATAACCCCCCCCCCCCTATGGAAGAGGTCAATACAATTTAAACCCCTAAGAATCAAAGTGCCGACACAAACACACACACCCCCCCCAGAAATTAAGAAATTTTTGCCTTATCCCTCAGAAAAAACGCAAAGATCAAAGGATGCCGATGCACACAACCCCTCAGAAACAGTTTTTTCAAACCCCCTCAGAAATTCTCGTCGGGGGGGGGGGGGTATATTAAATGGAATGGCCCTTAGTAATATACTGTACATACTATATGTCCTATATGACACTATATAATGACACTAATTAAGTGAGGACAGCATTTGTGGCACGTAACAAATTTCAGAGGTATGGGGCGAGTTTGGTATATTCTACATGTCTTTTTGGGCTGCCTATAATCGTTAATGAAAAAAAACTTTACAATGAAGTTACAATGAAGTTGTTGACAAATCACCTACAGCATTAACTAAAGATATAGCTCATTAAGTCAGGGGTATTTACACCCGCACTCAAACAGCCCACATTAAAATGCTTTTGACATAATGGATTTTTCACATTTATTCCCACTACTAATTGCTCATTAAACAGTTGTTACTGAACATGCAGAAATTATAGCTATATTACTGAAGTATTTCCCGAAACAAACATTGTCACTGAAATTTAAGTATAAAGGGAAGCTGAGTTGAGAAAATTCAAAGCTGACAGTCTGACACCATGCAATTATTACACAAAATAACAACTCACTCATTAAGTGGCAGCACTCTCCACCTAAACTGTAAAATCATCTGGCCATCAAGGTACATTGCTACTAAAAGGGTTAACAGGATGCATGCAGGCCTCGAAATAACTGCCAGTCATATTGATAGGTAAATTTTTCAGTTTAACCGGCAAATATATTATCGCTTACCGGACAAATTGCATGTCCGGTGAAATTTTTAATAGAAAAAATTGTTTCATTAAAACTGTGTGGCTCAGATATGTTAATTGGCAAACAACTGTTTTGTTAGTCACCATTCAAATATGAAATATTCTTGTGTAAACAAGAATATACAAAACTTTGTAACACACAAATAATAAGAATATTATTCAGAATAATTATCAAATGAGGAAAACAAAAGATGACAGGCAAAAGCTGCTGTGACCCGTAAATTTCATAATTCACCGCCACCGGTCATGATGACTGGGATACCTTCCAGATTTATTTTGAGGACTGGATGCATGGGCAGATAGTCTGACCCATTGATTGGCAGCATTTCCCCTTTGATGAGTAAAATTGTCTGACATTGACAGAGTAAAATAATAAATTTTATATGACAGATAAAATGTCATTACTGAATTAATCTGTGCTCATGCCCTTCTTAGAAAGTGGCCTGAGCAGAGGTAAATTTGCTGTGTCATATATATTCCACTGTGCTCTACCAAAAATTGATGTGTAGTATAATCAGGCCTATAGACTGAACATGACTACATTATATTAAGTAGATAGAGTGCTTGTTCTTTAGTATAGAGGTTCAGGTTTGCCTTCCACTATCGCTACCACTCACTTGCTCTGTGTGCATCTGATTGGTTAATCAGGTAGATTAAACACATCTGATTGGTTAATAGTCCCTGAATGAACTAGGTAGTGGAATTCATATCTGAACCTTTCTAATATTTCCACCAGTGCATTATAAGATCTACCAGTGTCACAGGAAGGTTACGGAAAAGCATCTCATAAACGACTTTTCCTGAGTGGAATGAGAGTGGATAATTATCATTAACAATGCCGGCTTCTTAATGTCTGTTCGTATTAGCTAGAACACTTTGTCGAAGCACTTTATACTAGTTCGAAACAATCAAAATACCATAAAACTCAAATTATATTTAAAAGGAACCTTATATATACAGCACTTCACTAATCATAATTTTAAAAAATGCCCACATTGGAAGTTAAACGGTTTTCATGAACCATAGCCAAAGGCATTTCATCATTAAAACAATAAACGAAACGTGTTTCATTGCATGTTGAATGACTCATTGACTCGTGACCTTAAATTTTAAAATTCTATTGCAGTCAAATTATATTATAATAGCTGGGCTTGATATAGAATATGGCATATGACCACAGTGTATTAATTCCCCTTTGGCGGTGTTTATTTTAAAACACTTTAAACATGTTTATTATAATTCAGGAAGAGGGCTATCATGGCTAAAAGCATTCGCAATTATTTCCAAATTCGTCTGTTGTAGTACCATTTCCGACTAGGAGGGCACGTAAACAATGTATTAAAAGTAAATAAAATTCACAAGAAAAACATTGAAATTTCTATAGCTCGTTTGAAAAGGTGAAAGCTCGTTTGATATACAGACTACAGTTACGTTTTTTAGACAGAGTATACACAGAACTTCGATAAAACTGTCAAACTGAGGAGAATGACGAATTATTGTGTCTATATTTATAAAACACTAGTCGACACTACCGAACTTATAAATGATTTTTATCAGCACTCTTGTTCACCCCTCGAGTCCCACAACAAGAAACGTCAATAAAGTACAAAGTTTGTACAACAGTAGTTTCGGTATGTCGTTCATCGACCTTTGTACATGTACAAGTCTACCAGAACGGCACAGCGAGTTCAATTTTATATTGCTATGAGTATCTTGGCAATCTTGCCAATTGACGTTCTAATCTCCGAATCCGAAAATCCAAACAAGCAAATGTCGCTGTTAAATTTCGATAAAACAGTCCATTGTATCAAATAAAAGCAACATATAATTGTTTCAAATTATCGAATTCTGCTACACCAAGATTGAATTTCCCTTGGGACAGATTTTCCCAAGATTTATTGTTGCAGTTTAAAAGTCATTGCGGTGCATGTTTTCCTATATTACACATTTATATTGAGATATTATACCTTGTGTATTTCTCGATGGCTTCTCTTGAGTTTGTCCCATAATTTGTCTGCCACTACGTCTGCGAACACATCCCTTTTCTGCTTAAAATTTGACGATAAAAGTTTTACATTTTACAAAGCAATCAAAATGTCTGTTGTTTTCCACCGCGGGTCCGCGCGCCGTAAACGTTTGTTCTTCAGCTTATTTGTCAATTTGATCTAATTTATGCATGCATGGTTATATATTAACCAGGTAGAAATAGTGATATAAATCATTATTTACCGCGCTCGTGCCGCTGTTAATACAGGAAGGATAATTTGTTCATGTATTTCCAAATCTATATGTTTTATCGAATAAGAAATAAATATAACGGCTTAATTAACAAGTGCATTTTCCCACGAGATGTTTGCATGAACCATGCAGCTTTGAACAAACGGTTCAGTGGGGGCAGAGCAGTGGGGGATAAGTGTTGAAAACTATACACGCGTGACAAAGTAGGCGTTTCGAATTCAGGTTCAGGAAGCAGGTGGCATTAAAGGTTATCACTATAAATTGCAGGCTAAATTGCACAGTTTGGAAAATGCGGGCACGGGCACGGACAGACGGAAAAAGACGGCCAGTCCGCCAGTTGGACAGAATACGGACAGTTATGGAAAAGACGGGCAGTTGTGAAAAAGTTGAAGGGTCTTGTAGATGGAAATTATAGAGTGGACATTTATATACATTTATTAGACCTAACCAGGAACAGCTGCGAAAAATGCAACTTTATAGGTCCCTGGCAGGAATCGAACCTGCGGCCCTGCGATTCCGGTGCAGTGCTCTAACCAACTGAGCTACTGAGGCCAACTGTCGAACTCCAACCACAGGTTAAATGGGTAGATATCAAGATTACCCGTAACCTAACATGGCAGTCGCCTTACTCTCCTATACATGCATATACACGAACCTGTGGTTAGAGCTCGCAACTGGTTTCTGTAGCTCAGTTGGTTAGAGCGCTGCACCGTAATCGCAGAGCAGCAGGTTCGATTCCTACTCGGGACCTATAGTTGCATTTTCGCAGCTGTTGCTGGTTAGGTCTAATAAATGTATATAAATTTCCACTTGATAATTTACATCTACAACACCCTTCAACTATATTATTCAATCGAATGAGATGCCAACAAAATCTTATACTAAAACTGTCTGTACCAGTGTGGGTAGTACCAATGTCGTCAAGGGCCTTCGCTCGAAACGTCGAGTTTCTGCTTACTTTTTAAGGTAGTAATATAACCACTCAGCACATCGTTTCAACAAAATCTTAAGTTGTGATAAAGCAATTTTTAGAGCATTTTAGAACGATGGAAGGCCTAATTTTTCGATATGGGCATAATGGCCGATCGGAGTAATTTATATACCTTGCCATGCATGCAAGCTAGTATGAAAGAAAATGGCTTTGAAGGTACTGAAGGAGTTGTATACAGCCAGGTACACGTGCATGTATTGTTTTACAACATCAAACACGTGAATATACTGGTGTATACCTTTCTAACTCAGTTAACTCGATGACGCTAAGTAAAAACTTACATATCAAATATTCAAATGAACTATATCAGGATCTCAGTTTTTAACTTATAAATTTATCGCGCACATAGCGACCGGGTTGAGTTAGGCTATATTGTTCGCTTATATCAGGATTTTGGGCATCTCACTCGCAATTGAACTTCAATGTAGAAGAGTTAAACTGAATGTGGAAACAGCTTCTCCTGGCACGGTTTATTAGTTAACGTGCACGTGCAGCTCTACACAAAATGTGCAGTTCTAAACCCATTTGTGCAGTTCTTAAAACACAAATGTGCAGTCACCAAACTAACAAAAATAGCCTTAATCAAAACAGTCTTCTCATTTACTCGTTACCCTTGTGATGCTCCAGAAAATTCCAGAAACGTTGTCATTAATTGAGCATCACAAATATAAACGCTTTCTGGGGGAGGACTCCAGACCCTCCTATTTTCCTTACAAATCACTTACGTACTCTAGTCCAGCGGAAAAGTAAAAAATCATGCACTTTGTGAAGAAAGCACCCAATTCACAGGAAGTGTAGACTTTAACATGATAATGAATCTTAGATATGGAGGCATCACCAAAATTGATGCTGACGGCTTAAAATTTAGGATTTCTTATATTCTCTTATTAACCTCTATTACTGTTTAAAATTGTGAAATTGCAGGTTCACATATAGCAAAAATGACTTGCATGACTAGAAAGCTTACAAAAAACTACATATAAGGTTTTTAAACGGTTGATTGATTTTCCAAGCGGTTTTCCAGTTATTGACATTTAAAAACGTGATAAATAGGCAAAAATCCCGCCAAAGTCCTGGACACTAGCCCTAAAACATATTTTCAACCGCTCATAACTCCAGAGGAGTT